ATGTTTTAACTTTGGATAATCCTCAGTTTAGCATAGACAGCTACTGCCATTACTGTAAACATTATTTTGCTAATCTAGCTTCAGGGTTTGACTTGATGGTGAAAAATAAATAAATAATGTATTAAGACATGAAACTAAACCTTAAGAGACAAGAGTTTTGTTCTGCTGTTAAGCACATCTTACTGAGTGGTCTCATGGAATTCCTATTATTTCTCCATGTCTCAATGTCCTCACTGAAAAAGCTATGTATGCTTCAATAATTTTACTTTTATTCTTTTATTTTTTTACGTCTCCAGATGAATTGTTCTGGATTTACTTGATATAACCTGACATATACAGTATGAGACAACGGGAAAAGACTGGAATTATGTTTACCACAGAGGCATAAAGTTACTACATTTGGTAGAAGGGAAGAAAATCCATTTTGGGGTGTATAGATTAGTATTATAGTGCTATAAACCACTGGCACTAATGGAGTTATAATAGTTTGATAGAGGCCAGTAAGAAATTACAGTAATTCAGTACAAAAAAAAAAACTACTAAATTTTTAGTAATGATTCAGTGACATGGGCATAGCAAAGAGGCATGAAAGAAAAAAAAATCCTGTTCTGCTACCACTAATCCCCTTTGACAAGTCACAAATAAAATCAAAACCAAGTAAATTAGATCAAAACTTTAGCTATACCTTTAGCTAAAGCGACACTGTGACCTTTCTACCACTCAGTCTTCAGGAACTTGCACATAAGGTCCTCAGAACTATTCACATGTGCAGTGCTCCAATACTTGTCTTTCATGTGTCTATAAACCCCAAATACTTCTATCTAAACTAAACTGATACTCTGAGCTGCAGGAAAGGTCTTCTTTACTGAAATATTGTTGTTTTGACATAGCAAGGAATTCATTTTCCATAAAAACAATCAATCAATCAAACAAGCAAACAAAACCTAAAGATTATGAAAAATCTGTATCTCAACCTTCTGATCTCAGGATTACTATTAAAAAGTTTAAGATGTCCAGATGTTAAGGCAACTATGACTGTGAAAAGTTCAAGAGCTGAATGGACACATGTAGCTATACATTTTTTAGGTGCAAAAAAGAGAAAAAAAAATGATGAGAGTTGATCTCAGGACATACATCATATGAAATTTCAGTTTTACACAGAAATTTGTACCTGCATTAGTACAGGTAGTTCTGGTACTGGTACTAGTACAGGTATTAACTACATATGACGTATATGAGAAGCATACATAGAATCATAGAATCATAGAATGCTTAGGGTTGGAAGGGACCTCTAGAGATCATCTAGTCCAACCCCCCTACATACGCAGGGACACCTAGAGCACGTGGCACAGGACTGCGTCCAAACGGGTTTTGAAGATCTCCAGAGAAGGAGACTCCACAACCTCTCTGGGCAGCCTGTTCCGGTGCTCTGTCACCCTCACTGTTAAGAAATTTTTCCTTAAGTTCCTATGGAATTTTCGGTGTTTCAGTTTCTGGCCATTTCCTCTAGTCCTATCAGTGGCCACCACTGAAAAGAGACCAGCACCGTCCTCTGCACTCCCTCCCTTGAGGTATTTATATACACTGATTAGACCCCCTCTCAGCCTTCTCTTCTCCAGGCGGAACAGGCCCGGCCCCCCCAGCCTCTCCTCATAGGGCAGATGTTCCAGGCCCCTGATCATCCTTGTAGCCCTGCACTGGACTCTCTCCAGCAGCTCCACATCCCTCTTGTACTGTGGAGCCCAGAACTGGACACAATACTCCAGATGCGGCCTCACCAGGGCTGAGTAGAGGGGCAGGATCACCTCCCTCGACCTGCTAGAGATGCTCTTCTTAATGCAGCCCAGGATCCCATTGGCCTTCTTGGCCACAAGAGCACACTGCTGCCTCATGGTCAGCTTGTCGTCCACCATGACATATATATAAATATAAAATCATAATTATAGAAAAAGAAGCAGAATATTGGCAGATTATTGCAGGGTAAAGGGATGGAGGAAAGCAGGAGGATTCTTTCTGGTAACTGTGCAGTCCATGCTAAGTAAGGATAGATAAACTTCGGCAAAATGAGGCATTAAATACAAGCAAAATCAAAATTTCTAAAAATAAGGAATTTGATTTCCTTGCTGCATACACTTTTCATGGCTCAGAAGTGAAGGACTGTCACTCCTAATAGACAGTTCTCCTCCAGATAAGAGAAATATACATCAGAATCTTATTGCAACAGTAAACATCTCAATTTCACCATTCTGGGTTTACTCCTGGCAAGACTATTTTCTCCTCCACACAACTAGTTATTGCTTAGTGGATGCTGGGACAGACCAATCAGATTGACGTCTGGGTGCAAAAGACTTCTCAAATGCTGAGTAGAGGAAAATTACTTTCTCTTTGACAGCAAAGTTAAGGTTGCAACACTACTGAAGTGTGGAAACTGTCATAACGCTAAACAGTGCAACTTTGCAGAACACCACTGTGTGATTTAGCCTTTTCATTCGTGTCCTTTGTAGGTTTTTGTCAAACATGACGTGAGATAATTCTTTTATAAAGCTGTAAAAGAATAATAATTTCTTACTTTTTTATTATCATTTGCTGACAGATATTGGATGAGGGGCAGAGGCATACGCCATCTGGGGATAAACCAGCAGGAGGGTTTTGTCTATCAGCAGCTGTGAATGAGACACCAGCAGCTGTGCACACACTCTTCACTGTTTCGGGATAAAAAGCACACAGAAGAGTATCACTCCAGATGGGGAAGGTTTATATATGTCAGCCTTCAGCCAGTCATGCTGCAAGCATGTTCCTTCCTATGCTGGTCCATGCCCAGCCCCTCAATCCACCCCAGCACGTGTATGTTTGACATCCTCTTCCACATTAATGCCATGTTAACATCTTCCACGTTTAGCAATGTTATCAAGGCCTGAAACTTCAGGTCTGAACACACCATGCATAAACATTCTGCTAGAGCTGGAATTGCTGATAGCAGTCTCTAAAATCAGAAGTGAAATATAGCTCCCTGCTGCACTAGATTTGCCTTCGCAGACCCATTTCTCTATCAAGTTTTGCTTAAATAAAGGCATTGGATAACAATGAAATGACAAATAACACTGAAAATACAGGACACAAGCTTGGGAGTCTTGAGTGATTCCATCTGAAAATGTTTTAAGCTACAAAATGAAAAGCGTATAAAAATGTGTGGAAATCTAAATGGCCAAACTTTACTGGAGTGGCAAGAAATACATGTTGCTGCTTTAATATGTGCCTTCATACTTCTGCAGTTTTATACACAGTGTTAACGGCTTTTGTGATACACAGAGGTGTGGACATAGGTTCTCCACCAGTCTACAAGCCAAATAAACTCATCGCTGTTGGCGTTAAAATATCTACACCTTTCACTTTCCATGGAAGAGACCAAAGCCATCCTCTTTGCACATAGCTTGTAAACAACTTTTTTACCAGTGTTGTCTTCCCCTGGCACAATGGGGAAGTCCTGATGCTTTCTCAGATGTTACCCTCCTCCACAGCTCCCTCAAAAACATACACTATCATTGGAACCTCTAGGATTTGCTAATATTTTTACCCTTCTTTGAAATGTCCCCAAGAAACTCTGTGCAGAGGTGCCCCAAACAGCACATATCCTATTTCCTTTGAGGTTAATCTACACTATTTCGGAGCTGGTAACGCTTCCTGCTTCCTGCCAGTCAGGTCTTGCACTATCATGTATCCCCGGAGGGCTCTTGGCAGTAAATCACGCTCACCAATTTGAGGTGGAGAGAGCAGAAAGCGGCCTCCTGCTCCCCGTCTCCACAAGGACCGCTCGCCCGCGTGCAGTGCACACGCTCACTCGCACCAGCGTGGGTCATGCCTGCATATGGGGTCCGGGGAGGCCGCGCTCTCCCGCTCCCGGCACGCCGGGCGCCCC